ACACCTCCCAGCAGCCTTCCCCTCCCCCTCTGCTGGCCAGGATTTCTGGGAGTTGAAGTCCAGAAACATCTGGAGGCCCAAGGTTGGGGGACCACTGCTCTAGAGTCCTTGATTATCCCCCTCGCCTTTTGTTTTGGCGCCCCAGACCTGATTTCCGCTTACAGGAGCTTTTCTTCGGAAACAAAATGTCACTCGCAGTTTGGAAAAGAACTCGCTGCCTAAACGTAGCTGGAATGCCCCAAGTCAGGGCAAAATTGCTGATTGCAGCCATTGGAGAGTGTAGTGTTGTGGTGTTCCATCAAGTCCCTTTCTTGTTATAAATGACCTCCAAAAATTCCTGCCATTTGTGGTCCTACTCAGGTTCTTGTAAAGTTAAGGCCACGGCTTCCTTTTTGAGTCAACCCATCTCATGTTCAGCCTTCCTCTTGTCCTGCGGCCTTCCACTTTTCCTGCCATGATTGTCTTCTCCTGATTGTGCAACAGCCTCAACGGAGACCCTTAAGGTCCTGCGGAGAATTCTGGCCTGATTGGCCCTGGAAGCCATTTATTTCTTTTTCCTGGCTCAGGGCATTTTGAATTTTAAAAATGGGATGTGGCAGTGGAGCGGGGGAGTCCTAGGACTTGAGCCAAATGTTAAACTTTGCCCCCTGCCTGATCAGGAAGAAAGGGGGCGGGGGGGAAGAAAGCACACCAAAAGGTTTGAACGTCAATCATTGTATCCTATTTGGGGCTTGTCTGTGTGGAGACCCCTCTTAAGGGATGCGTTGGAGGGTTTCCAAAAGAGCCTGGGAGGACTTCTTGCTTGCACCAGGATGGTCTTTAGACCAGAGGGGCCCACAGGGGGTCTGCAGCGCCGGCTTTGTGTCCCTTCACATGACCCAGTTTTCCTAGCCAGCGATCCAAGCATGGGTCCATCTGTGAGTTAACCGTTCTCTCTCGTCTTGCTTCTCAGGGTGAGTTTTTCCAGGTCAGAGGGCGCCCTGGCCCTCTCCTCCCTGCCCCCTTCCACCTTCCCAACCAGCCCGACTCCATGGTCCTCCTGGGCATCTCTGAGTTCTTCGCCAACTCGGCCGCCTTCGCTTACTTCATGTCCGGAGCGCTGCGGGTGAACTACACAGGGCGGATGGTAAGGCCGTGGGGTGGGAGGGAGGGAGGGCATCGGAAGGGCCATGTGGGGTCAGAACTAAGATCAGTCTGGTCCAGCATCCCTCTTGCTCCGAGGAGGAAGACCTGATGTGGGCCAGGGCCCTTCATGACAGACATTCAGAGGATCTGCTGGGCTCCTTTCAGTGAGACCCCAGCCAAGTCTCCTTTCTGCCGCTTGGACACGTCAGACTTTTACTGAGTGTGTGTGTGTGTCAGGAAGCGCCCACTGCCACCTTCCACGAGGGCAAGCCTCGCCCATTTCAACAGGGCAATTTCCAGCTTGCGTCATGTCAGCTTGGAGCAGACACAGAATGCTGTGCCAGAAGGGCGTTCTGTTCTGCTGTCTCAGAAGCCATGCGGAAAGAGCAGATCATATCACAACCGGCCAACCGGCCATGCAAATGTGTTCTCTCCCCTCTTGGGAGTTTCCCATCAGGGCATTTGACAAGCACAACACCAAAATTATTCAGCAGTGTCCCAACCGTACACCTTTGGGCCAGAAATCTTCTCCTTGAAACCCTTCCACCTTCTTCTCGAGGCAAGATTCTGAAAGCCCTCGTGTTGGCCCAAATGATAGAAGATTTTTATGATTCTGTGATTCTTCTGGGTGCTTACACTCCCTGGTGCCACTTCTCTGCCGGTTCAGAGCTGTCCATGGTACTGCAGGTTTGATTCCCAGCCTGCTTTTATTCCCTGGATCCTGCATTCTAATTCCCTGAGCTTCACCCTGCTGACTTTTTTCAGATCCTGTGATTACAGTAGAGTGCATGAGGCAGCTTCCCCTCCAGGTTAAAAAAAAAAGGGAATTAAGGGCAAGTGGAAAGAAACTGGCATATTGTTTAGGGACAGCCATATATGTAGGGCGGGCCATTCTATCTGGGCGATTATGGGAGTTATAATAATAAAAAGGAACTTTTGCAAGCAAACAAACAACAAATGTCTTGGCCAGCCCTGACGTATTTTAAAAAGTTGGTTTGACGATCCATGTCTTCAAGTGGATGGCAAGGTCAGGCTGTAATCATGTATGTAGCTTTAAAGGTAAAGGTTCCCCTTGACATTTAGTCCAGCCGTGTCCGACTCGATGGCGCAGTGCTCATCCCTGTCTCCAAGCTGTAGAGCCAGCATTTGTCCGTAGACAGTTTCCATGGTCATGTGGCCAGCGTGACTAGACACGGAACAATGTGACATTCCCACTGAGGTGGTCCCTATTTATCTACTTGCATTTGCATGCTTTCAAACAGCTAGGTTGGCAGGAATGTAGCTTTACTTCACACCAAACTTCACAGTGCTCAGCAGTGCCTGGAACTAACCATGAGGGCTATCAGTTTCAGGGACAGTATGCCCCTCAGTATGGAGAACCCGGGATGGGGGAGAGGGGAAAAATGTTTGCTATTTGCCCTCCTGTCCTGCTTCTAGGCAGAACAAAGCAGGCCCCTTATAGTCCAAAGTTTTTATGTCCTCGTCAGTGGAAACGTCATCAAGACGGCATGGAAAACATTGCCTTCCCCACTGATTCCTGCAACCAGAACTAAGCGACAAATCTTGATCGAAGGCATAGGTCTAACGTCTAGTTCGGCACTCATAGCCCTGGGTGTAGCAGAGAGGCTAAGCAGTGCTTCCCAACCTTAGGTCCCCAGAGGTTCTTGGACTACAACTCCCAGAAATCTTGGTCAGCACAGCTAGTGAGTGAAGGCTTCTGGGAGTTTTAGTCCAAGAACATCTGGGGACCCCAGGTTGGGAATCACTGGATCAAGGTTGGGATCAAAAAGTCCCCAATTTGTTTGTTTGTTTATCTCTGTCAGAAGGAGGGCCCAGTTCAAACATCCATGCCACGAATCTTTCACGTGACCGTGGGCAAGCCACTTTCTCTCAGCCTCATTCACCCTGCTTCCCTCAGCAATATGGACAATGGATGCTGGCCTCTCTTGCAAGAGTGTAAGGATTTCCCTTAAAGAAACATTTTGTACTGTTCAAAGCCCTGCAGAAACAGTGCCTACAAAAATGAGGATAAACGGTCTTCTCCTGTTTGAGGCGTCAGCAGTTCTGACCTCTCCAAAGGCTGCCGGGAGCGTGTCTCAACCTGTCTGCCTGCAAACCAGCTCCCGGAAATGATATTGGCACTATATTGTTTCTGTTCGATGGAAATAATGCTTTTTCCTCACGTAGAATTCCGAAGGGGGAAAATAAATATTAGACTGGAGGGCCCCCCGGTTCATGGAAGTCAGCCAACGTTGATATGTTTGTTTGTTCCAGATTCCAAAAACGGTTCCCTTCCGCCTCAACACGAAGAATTTGGGAGTGTTCATTCCAGAGGTGAGTCGGGAAATAGGGAGACTTAAAGGAATCACGGATACATTTAAGGGGTGAAGAAGGAATCCCTCTGTCTCTATTCCCCCCTCCCCCCCGGCCACTACCTCTCTCTCTCTCTTCAGGGCCTAAAATGAAAATAGGGCATATTAATATGTACTATTTTCCTTTTATGAATGCCAAGGGAAGTACTTTTTCCCATGGAAGATTTTAGAAATAATATTGTGACAGGCCTTTCACGTGGATGCGCATCCTGCCTCCAATATTGCTCTGTTGCAACCTTTGCGATGTTTCTGCAGATGACAAGAACGGTCATCAAGAAATATTTTCAAGGCCCTGGAGAAGGATTTTCAAACGAAGCGGAAAACGGGATGTCGCTCTTCCGATGTTCTTTCAGAGGGAGGTCTGGACGGCTGGTCCGTTACAGACTGACTAGCTTCGGCGCCTCTGGCTTCTCCGTTTATTTTTGTTGATTTATTTATTTTCCTCCAATGAGTGATGTACATGTACATAGTTTTCATTCTCACAAATAAACCTGTGAAGTAGGTCAGACAAAGGATCTCCGGCCCCAAATTACCCATTGAGTGTCATGCCAGAGTGGGGATTTGAACCCAGGTCTTCTGGTTCAACAGTCTAACATCTATGTTACACTGCCCTTCTGGTTGATTCTTCCTCTACTGATGCTCTTGACTACAAACCTCGTTATCCCTAAATATTGACTGTACCAGCTACAGTGACAGTTGTGGGAGTTCAGAAACACCTTTCCTACCAGAGGGGGGATATGATGAATATATGGCAATATAATACGACATGAATACGTGCTTTCAACTTAATTCTGATTTATGGTGACTCTTTCCACGGTTTTTCTAGCGATAAAGTGGATTATTTTTATTTATACGTCACCTTTCGCCCCATAGGGGACCCAAAACTCTACAGCGATCATGGGTTTAAAATATTACACAGAAGACGCAGTTTCTTACTTTTTCTGCCTCCGACTCACATGAGTGGAGGCTTCAGTGTTTGAAAGCACAGCGATCCAGAAATATTCGCAAGGCATCGAGAGGCCCTGGGACCATGTCCGTCTTCCACCAGGCGGAGCGGGGAATTGAACTCTCAGCCCCTCACGCCTCAACTCCCTGAACCCAATACCTGCACACAATCCCAGGGAGATGGGCTGGGAATCTCATTGCAATTCATTCAGGCTGCCTTATTTCGAGGGAAGGAGGAGCTCCTGAAATGAAATTCAGATCTATATATATATATTTTTCCAAACGGTGGTTCTGATTAGAAAAATAAATTTACTGTGCATTTCCCTGGATATATTATTTATCAGGATGGAGCAATAAACCCATAAATACTGATTCAGAGTAGCTGCTCTCTGCTCTGTGTATGTCACAATGATAAACGGTTAAAGAGTTCAAATTCACTTTAACTGACTATTGAGATGTATGGATCGTCCTTACTTACATTATAATGGGGTTTATTGTCTCATCAAATCTGCCTCTGAAATGATGACTTTCTCCCCTGCTTTTGTTTCTCTTTTGCCTTTGTTTTCCATGGGCTTATCACAGCCTTTTGTACCATTTCCTTTGGCACCCTCCTCTCACAGTCTTGCGGAGAGGATGGCTGTCCTCTTAGATTTCAGCCAATAAGAGTTGGTTTAAATCCGTGGTTCCAGTTGTACCATTTCCTTTGGCACCCTCCTCTCCCAGTCTTGCAGAGAGCTGGCTGTCCTCTTAGATTTCAGCCGATAAGAGTTGGTTTAAATCCGTGGTTCCAACTTGAGCAATCCAGGGGTTCTTGGACTACAATTCCCAGAAGCCTTCACCACCCGCTGGGCTGGCTGGGGTTACTGGAAGTTGCAGTCTGAGAACACCTGGATGACCCCAGGTTGGGAACCATGGGTCTATCCAGCAGTTCACCTTAAAGGACCCCGCCCCACCCCGCTCTGGATTTTGTGCAAGTACCATGGGGCTTTTTCCTTTCTCCCTTGATAAAACAAAGCAAACGGTGCAGCTACAGAAAGGCCAGACAGCTCCCTTGTGTCGGCTCCGTGAGAATGCATGCATTCCCTTCCTGACGCCTCTCTCTATCTCTCCATCTTTCCAGCTGAATAAAGAGTTCCCGGACATGGAGATGGAGATCCACATCGCTGCCCAGAAGCCGCCGGTCCTGAGCATCCATCCGGGCAGCCTCGAGGGAGCAGCCTTTGCCTCTGTGGAGGCCTTCGCTGTCTTGCCCAATGCCAACCTGGCTTCTGCCTTTCTGCTTAATATTGTAAGTGCCAAAGCCTGGGGAAGGGGCTTGGAGGGGAGGGCCCCAAATCGGAGGCTGTTGGCTTTCTGTCACTCCTAACCAATGGCAAACTTATGCATGACTGACCTCCAAACGTTTCTGCCAATAACTGGCCTGCTCAGGTTCTTCCAAACGCAGGGCTGTGGTTTCCTTCACTGAGTCAATCCATCTCATGTTTCAGCCTTCCTCTTTCCCCACTGCCTTCCACTTTTCTGATAACTTCCTTTTAGGCTTGAGGATCTTTTCGAATTCCTTCATGGCTGCCCTTTGTGAGTCTGAGTCTTCTTCTGATTTCTTGGCTGCCGTCTCCCTTCGGATGGCTGGTGTAACCAAAGTGCAGTAAACTTTAAACAATTTTGGTCCCCACACTGCCAACAGTTGTGTCATTCTTCCATGATCATATTTTTTCTGTCTTCTTAATGTTCAACTGTAACCCTGCTTTTCTGCTTTCTGTTTCCACCTTCTTCAAGAGTTGCTTCAATAGGTTGTCGTCTTCATAGCTTATATTACCGATGCTTCCTCCACCAGTTTTTATTTCTCCTTCCTCTGAAATCACCTTTTTAAAAACTCTTCCGTTATTTCTCCTTCTTCTGAATCAAATACAGCTTTTTTTTATACGTTCTGTTTACAGATATGATGGAGGGAAATGTGTTGAATCAGGATGTTTTATTTTTTAAAAGGAGATCAACACAAGCAGGCTGTGGAGAGATGCATAACAACAGACCTTCTGTTACAGTTGTTTAAAATTTTAAAGCACAAGCTAGGCAAGGCACTAGATGAGTCCTATTAGAGAATGGAAACCCATCGTCCACAACCCCCAGCCAGCTTGGCTTGAAACCCTCCCACGCCACTGCCAGGGACCACCCTGACCTGTGTGAGCTTTGCAACTTGTAGTTTCAAAAAGGAATTACTTGAAGCTTGTAAAGCCAATGTGGGGAACGCTTGACAAAGGGAGAAAAACCAAAAGAAATGAGCCAGTGAGTTCCTGGAAGAAGCTCCTTCTTCCACAGATGAATGCGATAGCAGAAGGTCCCATGGCGCAGGAAAACCTTAGAACCACATCATCCTAAAACTGGAGCGCTTCCCATGCGGTCCCTTCCACTGTTCAATGGTGCTCCCTCTTTCCCCACGGCATCCCTTGTTAAAACAAAGGCTTGGGCAGTGGCCTTAATAGCTCCTGGTCTCACCCTGAAGGTTGCCTTCATGACCCTCCTTGTCAGATCAAAGAGAACGCACCCTTCCGTTGGTACCGTACGGAGTTCGGAAATCAAGTGTGTGTTCAGAAGACGTGGTGATGACTGCTCTTTTAGGTCACTTCCAAAAAAAGAGAACTCCCCCATTGGCACATCATGGTCTAAATGCAATCCATCAATTAGTCAACCAGTCCTCAGAGGATGGGGAAAGTGGAATGGCTTCTGGTTGGGGAAATATGCAGCCGGTTAGCCAAACAAAAGAAAACTTCGAAGTTCGGTTGGTAATAATCCAAGATCGATTCACCCAGGAGACGAGGGCACGGCTGATGGTTATTATGAGCCATGCTGGCTCTATGCCACTTGCGGGATAAGAGGCAGCTGGTCCCCGAATCCTGTTTTCTGGGAAGCCAACAAAGTGGGGGGAAAGGTGCCATTTCTGTTGCGTGGCGGTCTTGCCGGCTTCCGGCTGGCCACTGCAGGGAGAAGGATGTTGCAGGAGAGGAACTTTTGTTCCAATCTGGCAGGGCTGGTCTTCGTCAGAGAAATGCATGCGGGGCTAAACGTCTCCCTTGGCCCAACAGGAGGCCAACCTCACAGGACAAGTTTTCCTCAGACCGGTCCAAGGTGGGACGTCCATCGGGAACATTGCCGGCTCCTTGGCCTTGAAAAGGTGAGTCTCGAGGGGTGTGTCTCGAGGGGTGTGTGGGGAGAGGTATCCTTCCTTTCCCAAGGTATCCTTCAGGAGAAAAGTGCCATGGATTGCTTCCACATGAAGGGTTGGGCCCTTCGTATATCTCCTGCCCCCAAGGTTATTTTGCCAAGGTGAAAGGTCTTGCCACTGCCCTGATGGGGCCATCAGACCGTTCCTCATCTGCATTTTTACCAGGGCTCTTTCATCTCTTGTCTTGTCCAACTTTTGGTGAGAAGAGAGGGAGAAAAGTAAGAGGAATGTCACCAAGCTGCGCATGAATGTGGAGCTTCTGGGGGGTGGGGAATGATTTTGCAGGTAGCTACAACTCCCGGAATCCATGTTTTCTGTGCTTCGTAGTCCATAATGTAACTTTTCCACCCTCTGGACAAATGCGTCTAGCTCTACTCTCTTTTTCTTTCTTTCTTTTCTTTGGGGGAGATGGAGGTGGTTTTCTTTTTTACATAGGCAGTGATATTTGGGAGCATGGCTTTCTTGCTTCCCTACTTGGGAACCCAGCAGTTTGAAATGTGAGTAGATAAATAGGTACCACCTTGGTGGGAAGGTAACAGCGTTCCATGTCTAGTCGCGCTGGCCACATGACAACGGAAACTGTCTATGGACAAATGCTGGCTCTACAGCTTGGAGATGGAGATGAGCACTGCGCCTTAGAGACGGACATGATTTGACTAAATGTCAAGGGGAACCTTTACCTTACTTGGGTGTACCTTCATTTCTGCTAGCCCCAATTTATTGCAGGTGTCTGGCTGAAATTCTGGGTGCATCAGAAAGCGAGACTCCACCTCTTAGGTAGGGCTCATGGCAGCCTATCTGAAAGCACCCTATAACTTGGCATTTTCTCTCTCTCTCTCTCTCTCCCACAGCTTCCACCTGTCTGTGGAAAAGTCCAGCATTGGGGAGATCAAGGTGAGTGAATGGAGGCCCCTCAAGGAGGGGTGGAGGGGAAACAAACTGGGGTGGGATTGGAACCTGGAGACAGCTTGTGGGCAGAAAGGGATTGAGAACGGCATTCCTGCCTCTTCCCTCTTGGCGATTTGGCTCGCTTTGAGAACCAGAGGTGATTTCTTCTCAGCCACGGTCATTAACCTAGGCCTATCCATGGCGAGTCCTGTGTTCGTCCAGACAGCTTTCCAGGGAGAACACTCTTGGGTGTGCAACATGCATGTCTTGGCAAAAACGAGGCTCTGCAGATGGGTTTCACAGAGGCCTGTTCAGTTTGGTAACACCGGAGGCTGGTGTGACATTGAGAAAAGGAAACAAAGAGCAGTGGGTTCGTGTAAATGCTTGGCAAAAACGAGGCTCTGCAGATGGGTGTCACAAAGGCTTGTTCAGTTTGGTAACACCGGAGTCAGATGTGACATTGGTGAGGTACAGTGGTGCATCGCTAGATGATGATAATCCGTTCCACTGAAATCGCTGTTTAGCGAAATCATTGTCTGTTTAATGCATTCCAATGGGGAAGAATCGTCGTTGTCTAGCGAAGACCGGCCATAGGAAAGCCGCTTTGCGAACCACCAATTGGCTGTTTAAATTGCTGCCTTGCGAAGCTTAGGTCCCCAAAACACACGTTTTGAGAGCGCGGAGGAAGCTGTCAAAATTGTTGTCTAGCGAAAATCGGTTTACGAGGCAGGGACCAAACATTATCCAGTGAAATTCCCCCATAGGAATCACTGTTTTGCGAATCGCTATAGCGATCGCAAAAAGTCAATGTCTAGCGAAAAAACTGTCATGCGGGGTAACTGTCTAGCGAGGCACCACTGTACAGGCTGAGCTCCTCTGAGTGAACAAGGATGAGCTCGTTAGGCTGCTGCAGAAGAAGTATTATTATTTTTTCCAGAAATAGGAGAGAGACCCTCATAAGAGGCTCCCGGAGACGTACAAGCTGCTCACAGTAGACATGAAAAGCAGGGAATGGAAAAGAACCCAAACACATTCATTGTTATGCCAGCAAAGCGGAACTGAACCCCCTGTCCTGTTCTAATGGCTTCAGGTAACTGTCTAGCGAGGCACCACTGTACAGGCTGAGCTCCTCTGAGTGAACAAGGATGAGCTCGTTAGGCTGCTGCAGAAGAAGTATTATTATTTTTTCCAGAAATAGGAGAGAGACCCTCATAAGAGGCTCCCGGAGACGTACAAGCTGCTCACAGTAGACATGAAAAGCAGGGAATGGAAAAGAACCCAAACACATTCATTGTTATGCCAGCAAAGCGGAACTGAACCCCCTGTCCTGTTCTAACGCCATGGCTTCAGTTGGCTTGGTGCCGAGACTCTATTCTGGCAACACGGGCGCAGCCAGAGAGACTAGAATCAGTGGTTCCCAAACTTTTTCCACTCTTGGCTCCCTTGACTTACTGGCCACTGGCCACGTCTCCCCAAATACAATACTTGGGGTGAGTGGGGAGAAAGGAGAGGTGAAACCCAGCCAGAGATGTACAGAGATGTACAGAGATGCCCCTGGTTGGGTTTGGTGTCACGACACACAGTTTGGGAACCCTAAGATTAAAGATGCTCTAATTCTGGAGACATTTAAGAGAAAATGGGACTACCCTCGGTCAGGTCTGCTTGGATCTGGATCCTTGAGCAGGAGGGTTGGACGTGATGGCCTTCGAGGCCTCTTCATTCTCCATGATTCTCCAGGACGGTCCCTATTTGCAACTTACATTTTGGGTTTCCTTGTGTTGCTGTGCAGGTGGCACTTCTGGAATCGTTCCTGAAGATGGCCGGACAGATGGCGTTACTCAGAGCCAACAGTGAGTCCAGACCCCTTTCCTTGTGTTCAAAATCATCCTCTACCTTCGTTTCCTGTTCCGTCCCGGGCAAGGCGGCTCTGTTTTCCTATGCCTCATTCTCTCCTCTCATGGTCACCCTTTGTATTTCATTAGGGTACCTTAAGAAAGGGTTCACTCTTCCCAGTGCCAACGGTCTTGGTGTGCTGAATCCCAAAGTCACGATGGAGCAGGTATGTGGCCAGTGAGAGAGAGAGATGGGTTTGGTGGTGTGTGCAGCTTGTAGTGAAAACTGAGAAGCAAGAAGGGCTGGAATGAGGTCCTAGGTTGGCCATATCTGGCCAGGTTGACTACCTTTGTCATACAGAATAATAAAACCATACAATCATGAAGTTGGAAGAGGCTTACTATAAGGCCATTGAGTCCAACCCCTTGCTCAGTGCAGGAATCCAAATCAAAGGAGATCTGCCCGGGGGTGGACTAAAGAGCCTCGTGGCGCAGTGGTTAAAACGGGAGACGTACAAGCTGCTCACAGTAGACAATGAAAAGCAGGGAATGGAAAAAAACCCAAACACATTGTTATGCCAGCAAAGTGGAACTGAACCCCCTGTCCTGTTCTAACGCCATGGCTTCAGTTGGCTTGGTGCCGAGACTCTATTCTGGCAACACGGGCGCAGCCAGAGAGACTAGAATCAGTGGTTCCCAAACTTTTTCCACTCTTGGCTCCCTTGACTTACTGGCC